GAGTATACTACGGTACGCATGATTTGCATCAGGTTGCAGTTTGCCGAAAGCACGTCTAAAAACACAGGTGGGCATGCACTCATGTCTTGAAACCGCGAGCAGCTCCAGGCCTTGTTGCTGAAGGCCGAGAAGGGCCGCGATCTCGCAGCCGGCACTGGAACAGGGACCTGGAGTGCAAGCAAAAGTCCTACAGGAAGGAAGATGCTAACTTAGAACGGTCAACTTGAAGAACCCAGTCCGGGTGTGCCTTGTCGGGTATCTCCAGCTCCACCTCTTCGTCCTCATCGGCCTTACTTACGACGGCAGCCATCCCCCAAGATATCGGCAAGAAGCGCGATTTCTGAATTCCCAACTAACGCATCCGAGCTAGTAAGTAGGGCACCAATGACACGTCACTTTCAAAAGACGGCGTCCTGAATTCTAAACCCTGAACCCTTTCAAGGATCCTTCTTGGCGCCCTGCTCCGTCTTTGTAAACCTCATGCATGGCCGCGGCGAAGCGAGCACCAAGCTCTGGGTCCTCGTCACGTCAGGGGCTGAGGGAGCTGCAGCATCTACAGTATAGGTAGTTACCGCTCATCACACTCGGTTTGTGATGAATTAAAATTATGTACATCTTTTGCTATTTCTAACTCACTATGTCACTATGTTAATCCGAGACGATGCTTTCTCACGGAGAAGGTGCCCCACCTCCCGCCAGATCGCAACCCACATCTACTCACGCACAGACAGACAACTAAACAAGCACGAAAAACAACAAACCAACATACACGAATCATGAGGGGACATACACACCCAAACAAACCCACATCCACAAGCACACACCCACAGAGAAAGAGAGAGAGAGAGAGGGAGCGAGAGAAAGACTCATACATATATATATACACACATACATACATACATACATACATACATACATACATACATACATACGTACATACATACATACAAACATGCATATATACATACATATGTATATACATACATGCATACATACGTGCATATATACACACACACATATATATATATGTATATATATATATATATATACATACATACATACATACATACATACATGCATATAACACATATATACATATATATATATATATATATATGTGTGTGTGTGTGTGTGTGCGTGTAACCATGTGTATAAATGTATACATACATACATACATACATACATACGTACGTACATACATACATACATACATGCTATATATATATGTATGTATGTATGTATATGTTTCTATATATATATATGTGTGTGTGTGTGTGTGTTTGTGTGTGACTGCATGGCTGTACTTGTGTATGTATACATACATACACCAGCACGCGCAGACAGAGACGTGCACGACCTGCATGCCATGCAGATATATGTCATATTATGTCATGATAGAGGGCTACAGATGATCTACAAAAAGTGCCCTCTCCGTCATCGTCATGACAAACAGAACGGTTCAGGACTCAGTGTCACATTTCAAGTCAGGGAAAACCCGGCTTGGTGTGTCGGAGAGCCTTCTCAACCTCCTCCTCGAGCTCGGCTGCCCAGGCGTCCGTCGAAGCCTCCTTACAGTGGGAATCGCTGTTGGAAGAAATCGAAAACACACTCCCATGGAGTGTGTGTTATTGGACATTCTGTTGCAGACCTGAGTTGGGGGTTGGGCTTCAGTAATGAAGGTCTTGGACTGTGAACGGAACAAGATGCAAATGACGAACACGCAGCCTGGCCTGGCCGGCTCGCCAAAGCTTGACTGCTTAGTTAGCAATTGCGGTGGTGGATGTGATGGCGACGATGATGCTGATCGTGACGGAGAAGAAGAATGTTGCGATGCATGTCATGGTAAAAAGGGGAACATAACGATGCTACTGATGAGGCTGGTAGCTCTTAGCGTGAAGATGACGATGATGGGAATGGTCACCACTGGACCACGGTGCTCATAATGGTGGTGATGATAGTCATGACAAGGTTGAAGGGGAACATCAAAGTGAACATGAAGGATAAGACCAGTGTACAGACAAGATGAAGATGATTAATCAATTATTAAACTATGTTTATGGCTACGTGTAAGACGACAAGGAAATCAACAAGTAGAAGATGATGGCGATGGGGACGGCTTTCTACCTGCCAGATGCTTGCCGCGCTGCTTCGCGGCTGTACACAACAATACAAACAAGAAAGGACCTGACCTTGACATGCGAAACCACCAACCCGAAAACCTCAACACGCAATCGCACAGCGAGCCTGGGCAGGAGGTTCTTCTGCCATCTGCTCTGACCAGCCCTGTGGAGCCTTTCGGTGGTCATTTCCGACTCAGCACTGCTTTGCACTAGGCGCCACGGGATCACTCTGATTCAGATGAAGCAGACTTCAACACCAGCGATGCGACCTCGGAGAACTGTGCAGCCCTGATTTCTCTACTTCGGGGGCTCGCAAGCTAAGAGTTCAAGGTTCTTGTCCTCCGGTCACTGAAAAGACACACTGACGTCAGGGTAAGGACAGGGACACTCTGCCTCTTGCTCCTCGCCTCCGGTCTCGGCCCATGCGTCGTCCTTACAAGGTTTGCTCAAGACATGTCTGGAATCGAGCAGATGTCTGCGAAATACCAAACCAATCACTCGCCGTACCTTACGTCACGTCTAGCAGTTCCTGATAAAGAACTGTAAAGGGCGACTGATACTCGCTCCACATCATGGAACAACATCATGCGAAGCCCTGATCAACACTCTCGCCTTGGTAGCCAGCTGATCCAGAAGAGAACCCTCCTGCATGAGCGTTGCTTGAGCTAAATGTTCAGTGTCGATTGCCAGGGGGATGCAGCAGCAGTCGGGAAGCTTGATTGGCGAGATTATTGAAACGGTTCTGAAGTACATACCAGAAGGCAGTACGCTGATGTGTATAAGGAAACATATGTGCAGCTGCACGAAAATTCATGTTGTTGGACGGTCCGGATTCTCCTCGTGGTTGCGTTGTATTATACTACTCTCCATATGTTGGTTGCTTCGAAGTGCGTTATTCGATGTTGTGACCTTGTATTTCTGGACTGGGGTTTCGTTGCTGGGTGGCGGGTCAGCGTATAGGAAGACATCTGTGGGCCCCGAAACGCCTCTCCTCCGCCATACTCTTGAAAGGCAGTGTTCTTGGAATGTCTGCAGTCACCAAGCTCGCTTGAAGTGTTTAATTGGCACTCTGGTGACTTCTTGCCATTTACGAGATGCAGCTTTAGTTTCGCAAGATGCATTGCCCCCTAGCCGTCGGGCTTTCAAATTGCTTCTCTAGCCATGCCTCAGCTTTTGAAAGGAAGACTCGCAGCAACTGTTGAACCACACCACAGCCCCCTTCCTGGCTGGACAAGGAGTTAAGCGAGACCCACATGCACGCAGCCACCATTATCTGTCTAGCTAGCGCATTCACAATGGCCTGACACGGGCCTATTTCGTTAGCAGGCTGAGTGGTGAGACTTACGAGGCACATGCCGAATAACCGCTGCAAGCCAAAACCTCTGAAATTCCGCTGCACGACACCTCTTCATCAGCCTCTTGTCCTTGAACCAAATCCTGAATAGCATGTAAGGATGTTCAATGAAGCATGGACATGATGGCTTCCGCATACAAGGGTGTAGGACTTAGGAAGACATGATCTATTGTTCTGTTTCTGATGCTTCTGGCGTCTCGCAGGGTCTTGATGGCATGAGCTGCAGGTCGGGATGAGTAACTGGCTAGGTCCTGTCTACCGCCGCTCTTCTAAGGGTGTCAAAACATCCAGGGGTCCAGGAGCTCCAATCGTCATGTTTACCGGGGGCTTGCATCCTTTTCGGCTCAACATGACACGACGTGTTTGCCTCCCCGAGCCACAGCACGTTGAGAGTCTAGGCTTTGTCCAGTCTATAGATATGGCCAGGCGTGGAACCGAGCCCCAAACATACCCGCCTTCCGGGTTTCACACTGAAGCCCCTCAGCTTACATGATTGCAGGACGCAAACCCCAACTCCGGCTACAATGATCTCTCCAAAGTAGAAGAATATTTGGGCTGACAAAATGCAACCCTCAGTGCATGAAGCAGAAGCCAGCCTGCCACAGTTTGTCCAAGGTAGCCTGCTCCTCAGCCGAGGGTTCCCATAGCTTGGAGGTCCTACAAAGTAGTTTATAGGATTTTGCGAGAATCATGTAATTCGGATGTGGATCAATTTTGAGCGCAGAGTTTGTTGGAGTTCTTCTTGGTTAAGCAGGCGGAAGTGGGCCGGCGGGAAGCAATAGGCACGGGTGGGCCGGTGTTGAGTTAATACAGGACACTAATCATTCGAATAGAGGTGCTGTACGAGAGAGGTTCCCTGGTTCCCTGGACAACGGTGCCAGGAGCACTGATGTAAAAGCTGGGCTTAAGAGGAACGGACATCCAACAGTTTGCACGAAGCCTGTGAACGAAATGTTACAAACTGCGTAACTCTTCAGCCTCGAAACCATTCTGGAGGTCAACCGACTAACAGATGCGAATATTGCGGAACCAGTGGGCCGCGGAATCCGCAGGAGGATCGCAAGCCACGTCCTGCCGTCGTATGGGCAAGCAATAAGACAGAGTATTCTGACATACCGTGAACAGCGAACAACTTGCACAATCTTGTCTCGGGTACTATGACTCGACAGTTGCACGATAGAGCGGCCAGATTGGTCAAGACCTTCGATGAAACGGCAACGTAGACGCTTCTAAAAGCTGCGAGAACGGTCGGGTAAGGCTGCCTTGGCATTCACAAGTTACAAGTAGCTGGAACCTAGGAGTAGCTAAAGATGCATCATTTGGACGAGCTTTCCTCGCCCAGCAAGGATTGATCAATGTAAGCGGCCCCCAAAATCGGGGAACATGCTGCCTTTTGCGTTGCCTTCGGAGTGGCGTAGGAGAGGACAGTGTGGGGAGGGGTACTGGGAGGGGTGGGCTAGCGACTAATAGCGCAACATATTCATGTCTTTGAACATCGACCCGCTAATCACCCTAAATACGAAACTCTAAATGCCAGAGCCGTAAACGCCTCGAAGCCCTCAACCCCCAAAGCTAATCCAGAAAAACCCAAAACCTAAATGACACCTACACCCGAAGCCCCCAAGCCCTAGACCTGGATCTGCCTCGAAGTCCTCTTCCGGCTCCGGCTCTGCCGTGGGCGGCCCAAATTCCAGTTCAGCCGTCTCCTCCGGCATGTGCTCATCAGCCAGTTGACGCTGCAGCGGCATTCGCCTGGAGAGTTTCGGGCTTAAGGGAGGGCTCTAGAGGGGTTTAGGTTTCGGGGTTTAAGGTTTCAGGTTTTGGGGCTTAGGGGTTTACTGAAGGTTTCGGGTTTCGGAGGCAGGCTATGTCAAGGTTCGGAAACTTATATCGAGTCCTTGAGCAGCGACAACGCAGAGCCAATTTCGAGGGGGGAGCCTGGCCCATCTCCCAGGGCTCTTGAACCCGGAAGCCCGAAACGGTAAGAACCCCTCGAAAGAAAAAGGACGCCCAAAACCCCAACCCCAATTGGCATTGTGTTTCCTGTTATTTCCCTGATGATACCTGCAGAAAGGAGCACCCTGAAACCCCCCCCCAAAACTGCAGCTCTGCCGGCTTCGGCTGCGGCTTCGGTGGGGTCTGCGGGGCGCTCTGACCATTCGGCGCTGCCTTGACTGGCTGATGTCGCGCTACCTTGAGAAACCTGAATCTGAAAGCTAGAACGGCGATGGGTCGAAAACCTAATCAACAATTCATTCAAAATAATAATATAGGTGGTATACGTAATATAGTGGCCTGAATAACTAGAACAGGTATCTGGGGCATGTTATAAATGTGTGTCTGTATATATATATATATATATGTATATACTGGTATTGCAAGCGGTCCTCATGGCTAGTTGCTCCGACCCCTATAGCCCTGTAGTAGGCACAAGAAGATGCTGCGCAGCTTTTCATCCTTAGACTCTTTTTCATCCTTGGACTCTTAATTCCCGAAATCCTGACACCTCAACTCCGTGAGAGATTCATGCCCGTACGCATGTAACACAGTCCACGCGGGCCGCGTCTCCATATTCTAAAAACATCTGTATATATATATATATGTATATTTATACACACACACACACACAAGCACATACATAGCTACTGTATACTTTGTACGATCATATCAACCATCTTAGGGTCCCCTTGCAGGCGGGGCTCTGAGCGCTGGCTCGGCTGAGGAACAGTGTGCCTCCCTCGGATCAGGCAATGCGCTCGGGGACCTATGGGCTTTCGGCCGTTGGGGTTTCGGGTTTGGGTATTTAACAGTTTCGGCTTGGGTGTTGGGGGCGGCGCCAAGTTTAAGGCGGTAAGGTTTTAAGGGAAATAGAAAACCAGGTGAAATCCAAAGGCCCGACAGGCGTGACCTCCCAAAGCCCAATAGCCCCAACATAGGGGCCTCAATAAAGGCCAATTGTATTCCTCGAAGTTCTTTAGTATGCCAATACTTCAAGACTATACTGTATTCTACTAGATTCTACCATACCACACAATACTATACTGTACTATACTATATCATAAACACTGCTCCTGGAAAAAATCCATAATCTACTACGGTATAAACCTCGGAGCCCTAGTTGTGGGGCAGACCGAGCAGCGATCCAGACCCCGCGACGGGCTCGGAGCCGTCGGCTGCTGCTCATCCTGCTCCTGCTCCTCTTCCTGCACAGGATACGCGTCTCGCCGTGCGTGTGTGTATATATAGATATGCTTAAATCTGTGCATGTATAAGTGTGTGTATTATATAAATATAGCCATAAACACAAATATGTGGAGATGTGCATATATGTACACACAGTTGTGTTTGTTTGTTTATACATAAATTTGCACATGCTTACAACAGGTGTGTATACACAGGCACAGCTATACATGTATATATTTATATACATGCATATACCTATACAGACAAAGCTACATATACATGTAAATGTACAAGTACAACTGCATATACATACAAATATGCATAGACTCTAGCAACATAGACAAAGACACATACATGTAATGAACAAACACATACATGTGCAAAGAGAGATATATATGTCATATGTATGCATATGCATGGGAACATACACATACATGTGTATGTATATACACATCATGTTGAGGATGCGGAAAGTTCTCGAAATCAGCATTCCTTGTTTAATCTAGGTTGCCTACTAGATGGGTGACGGACTCTTCCCGGGATCCTGGAATCCTAGCACACACCGTAATTCAGAGAAGCCCTCCATACGGTAACGAGAGACGCAACTCCTCGACGCTCTGCCAGCTAGATGGCACACCAGTTCAAGCATGTGTTTTTTGTTTTGGCTGACGAACTTGTCTGAATCGCGTTTGGCGTCCGAAATCGCCGCAAATCCATCCTTGCAAGGAAACCGTCCAGAGACCCAAGTTGGTCCAAGGCTTCCCAGTCTGTGCCTTCAGCCGCTCATTGATCAGCTTCCGAAAGCCGCAGGCAAACATGATTTTGTGTCCTTCAAGCTGGTTTCAGGGTTGAGGGTTTTGGGGGATAAGTGCGCATGACCCAATCTGATCTGTTGATTCTGTACGGTGACGTCTGAAAAGGAGGCCAGAATGTTCACATCGCCAAGCGGCCATGAGAGCGGACAATGCAACAAATCTTAACTCCACACCTCGCGCGCAAAAGCCCGGAGCTCCAACTTCCATGCAAAATCGAACCTTCAAAATGCAGAAGATCGTATTTAAGAAAGATGTTGGCGATTTCGATTCCAAAGCTCCGGGATGTGCGACAAACCACCCTAGATAAAGACAGCCCCTGTTTTATGATAGCTGTATTGTGTTGGTCTGGGAGCATGGCCTTTGTACATCACAATTTGAGCCCCGTGCAGAGCATGGACGCCACCAAAAGCGAACATGTAATATGGGAGGTTTAGTAAATAACAAATACAGCTGGGTTTCGTCGTATACTACAGTCTTGTTGTACTCAAAAACTCTAATCAGGGGTCACAGGCGATGGACATGGCAGGGCCCCTTTCATGTTCCGGCTCTGCTTTGACAACATTCGTCGGCCCCGGCCTGTTTTGCTAAGCGCAGTGCTCTTCAGGAACGGTTTCGAAAACACCATCTTCCTCGGAAAGGGAGATCTCTAAGTGAAGGCTCTTGTGTCAAGTGATAGAAAGCCTGCTACACCAAGTACACATGCCCTGCTGCACATGTTCATGCAACAAGGCGCAAGCGCGTTGAACTGAGGCACTTGGTGTCGAGATCTTGCACAGCCCAGTCAACCAGCTCTTTCCAGCTGCTGCAGTTTTGGGCCATGCCCTGCCAAATTGTGGGAGACGTTGGAGCGAGCAAGGGAGCTACAACGAGGCGCATAGAACAAATCAGCAACCTCCTGCAGCATGCTGCCTATCCAGCTTCGAAAATCCAAACAAGGCCGCATGCTCGGGCCCGAAGCCACAAACTTGTGAATGTCCACATCAAACCTTCAATGTTTGCACCGTGGGCATCCGTAACATGCATCCTTACAACAAAGGACGCGCGACTCCAAATCCAGTACTACTTACCACCATTATGTTGGTGAGTGCTCTCACAACCTGTCACTGTACTCTTCCTACGATGATAAATACCACATGCCACATACCACCATAAATAAAACAGTACTTCCTGCGTGTCCTCGCTGATGTTGTTACTGCAAGGCCTCGTGGTATTCCAGCATGACACCTTTGCCACGATCCAGGTTCAGCAGCCACTCGGCCAGCTCGTCCGCGAAGCCTTGACGCAAAGCTCGCTTGGCACATTTTTGTGTCCTGTGGTTTACAACGCCAGAGGAGTTCACCCAACATCAACAAAAACACGAACCCGAACCCGAGCCCGAACACTAACACCACGAGTAAATAATAAGCGTTAGGTTTTGGCAGTAGGCATGAATCCATAGGACTCGACAGCTAAGACTCGTTGGCCGCTTGAGCTAGTAAAGCTTAACGAGCAAAAGTAACAGCGATACAGATAACAGTAGCAGTAGCTGCAGCAGTTGCAGCAGCAGAAACCGTAAGAGTAAGCGTAAGAGCAAAAGTAGGAGGAAGAGCAAGACTAAGACTGAGAGTAAGAGTAACAATACGAGTAAGAGTAAGTGTGAGAGTAAGAGTTATAGCAACAACAACAGCAACAGCGACAACGATAACAGTAGCAGTAGCAGCTGTAGCGGTAGCGGTAGCAGTAGCAGTGGCAGTAGCAGCAAGAGGAACAGAAACAGAAGTAGCAACAGCACAAGAACCGGAACCAGCAACGGCACCGGCAGCTCCATCGCCCTAGTCGACAAAATCCTGGTCCGTGCTGTTATGATTGTTGATGCTGCTGCTTCTGCTTGCTTTTGTCCTAGAGCAGCTGCTACATGTTTCGTGGAAGGATGGCGGCCTTCCTCCCTGGGACGCTTCACACCATTCGCGGCGGGCTTTCCCACGGGACTCGGAACACCTGCCAGCCGTCGATGCTGGGTTCAAAATGTGTTCGGATTTAGGTTTGTGGAGTCAACTACATCCAGCATCTTGCCCCCCTCTTTACCGCTCTCATGTACCAATTTGGCAAGTCGAGTGTGGGTTAGTTAGGAAAGACGGTGCAGCTTGCAGGTTTCAGTGCAGGACCAGATGATCACAAGGCTGCATCATGGAGGATCGGAATCCGCTATTGTGAAGCTGCCTCCGCGCAGCCTAGAATCGATACACTAAACCACGAAACCCACAGATTCAAATCCCATCCAAGTAATTACCCTAAACCCTAAACCCTAAACCCAAGACTTCCTGGGCCAAGGATCTTCCACTCAGTTCTGCCCACAACCAAGAAGAACACAAAACACAGGTCCAAGCCCGCAGAACAGTTCTTGAAGCCTGATCCTGAGTATATGCTGTCTAATCATTGTAGATATGTATACATGTATATGTACATATGTATACATCTATATACATATATATATATACATATATATATATACACAGATGATTAAGACCGAAGCCGACAAACTCCTCCACCCTCTGCTCCCGAGGGCCCGGCGTGCTGTCGGTGGCTTGGAAGGCTCCGCCGGCTTTCGCTTCGACGGGTCCGGTGGCTTCGTCGGCTCTGCTGGCTTTTGGCTCGGCTGCGGCCTCCCGACAGCGTGATAGCTGCATTTGTCGCCTGGTCCTCACTACGCAACGAATACCAGGCGAGACTCGACCAATGTCTCAGCGGTTTGTTCGATCCGACCAACGCTCAGATTAGACTCACGTGAGCCCTGAATGCCAAACATACCCACACCATGCAACCCGACCGCCAAAGCTGTCCACAGGTCAGACATTCTGAAGACCGCTTCATTATGCTAGCGAAACCTTGGATGACAGAACCATGCACCATGCAGCACTCGTTTCAAAATCCGTCGGACTTCGTCCCACACTGCGCTCGGATCCGTTCTGTCGGCTTCTCAGACGAATGCGCAGCCTTCCACCCTAAAGCACCGAAAACTAAAGCGCTAAGCCTTTAAACCTCAAGCCCGAAACCCTAATCCAACACCGCAACAAATCCGCCTCTTCGTCGGCTTGGGCACCGAGGGCCGCGCCAGCGCCGCCCTGGGCGTCGGGCGCGCCTTCTGCTTCGGCCGTAAGGGCGGCGTGACCGGCGTGGGGCCTTGGCTGAAAGGTTCTCGGCTGAAGTATTTTGCAGACGTTCACATAGTAAACTGTAAGATAAGATGCGCTCATCTTGAACTGTGTGATATATAACAGAATATCGACACAGTGCTTCTTAGGATACAACACTAGATTAGACTAGGTCAGATTAGGATAGGGAAGTTTAGCTTAGATTACAGTTAAAGTTGGATTAAGTTTTGTTTTTGAATCAGGTTAGACTACGACGTTCTACCATGATGTATTTAATATATACGATTGTTCAATTGGAAAAGAGTATACGATGCATGACACTCTCGGCATTTACGTAGCGACACGTACACATGGAGTGCTGGAGTAACGCTGGATATCTTAACACGACATCTGTTCACACGTCGCAATATGCTGTAGCCGAGCATGAGAAATATCTGAACATTACCAACCGTGGAAAATGTACAAATACGTACACCCGCAGCTATGTCTACTAATGCCAGTAATGCTGTATAAACGGTACAGGTGTTTGGATCGAAAACATAGCGACAACATGTGATAGCAGATGGGAAGAGCAAGTTCGGTGCAAACTACATATTTCAAGAAACATGTCCTGCAACCACGTGCGGCCAGATGTAGTCATGACAGCCAACTTACGGCACCCACCATGAACAAACGGAAATGCCCATGCTGCTGATGGGCGAAATCATTGCCGAAACTCCGGAATGTATCCTGATTCTTGCAGTTTGGGGTCAGTGAGGTATGAAGGAGTGTGTCCATCAGCCGTCGCATATCATAAATCTACAAGAATGAGTTGGTGCTAGCCGGTAGCAAGATGCTATAATATACACTGTTACAGTAATAATAATACATGGTCGTCGACCATGACACATACATGTTTGTAGCCATATAAAACCATTGGACAATGATGCATGACCATGCCACAACCACTACAGCATGATGTCGGGCATAGCCATGCATACTGCGGAAAACCCTTCAGGTCGGGGTACCGTTGAACTTGAAGCATCTTCCGAACCTAACGTCGTCCTCGGCGTTATCGTCGTCGTCATCGTCGTCGCCGTCGTCATTCTCCTCCATGCCTGTCAATTTTGCAATTTTTGGATTGTCCATACTTCCTACTGCCTTTTCTATACATGTTGTTTTTTCGAGCCGCTGACCTCCAGAAATGCAGCTTCGCGACCTGGCGTCGGAGCAGATGAGCTGGGAGTAGCTCTTGCCGTTGGGCCAGACACTGGCCGAGGCGGTATCGCCTTACACTGACACCGTTGGTGGCGAGAAGGATAAGACAGTGAGCTGCAGGGGGGGCCTCCGGGGCTGAGGGGAAACGCGTCACACAGTCATTGACAGCACCGCTTGCCCTAGAGTGCTGAGGCCGGATGTTGAACGCACCATCTCAAACTCAGATGCGCATCTTGAAGCTGACAACTCGACTCTGTCACTCACAACCCTTTGCACTTCCTGGATAAGGGTGGTTGTCAAAATTATGGTCCCTTTTTGGGTCCTTATTATAATACGGCACCTATTATTTAGAGTACCCCAAAAGGGACCATAATTTTGACAACTACCCACAAAGTGATTCCAGAGGCGCCCCTGGTCTAACAGGCACAGCAGGTGGTGGGACCTGTTTCAGGAGGCAACGTTTCGGCTGTACCTCTCCCTAGTAGTCCTACCTAAAACAGAAAAAGGTGTGCCACATGGGCAAACTTCTCGTCCAGTCTAACTAAGCTTGCTGAACGGTGGGTGTGTTCCAAGGTCGAGGCTTCTTGGTGCGTGAAATACACGCTCACTGGCTTTGGCATGTCGGATGGTTCACGGCCTTGTTTGTTTAGAAATAGTAATTATTCGGATCCCTAGTAAATCTGTGGTATAGAACCTCTAAAAACCATCATACAATTATCCAGGCCTGCTTATCAGGTGATCATCACCAACACCACCATCATCATCATCATCATCATCATCATCGAAACGCACATTGTCTCGATGCATTCTCATGCCAACAGGCAAACAGTATACTCTGGCAGAGAATATCTGACCGGGAAATCCAAAGTCATAGCGCCCCCATGATACAGTATACCATATAGTATCTAATATCTCTCGTATCTAGTATACACAAAAAACAGTGCATCATGTAGCATATCGCATACAGTTAAGCAGGAACGGAGCTTCTGGTGCATAATGTATGGCGTATTGCACAACAGAGTACATCGAGTATAGACAGTATAGAGTAGATAGAGTACAGAGTATACCGTGTGTAGTATAAAGAGTATAGAGTACATAGTATTCAGTACAAAGTACAGAGCAAACGGTATATAGTATGCAGTATACCGTATGCAACATAGAGGATATAGTGAACGTACAGCATCGTAAGGTGTAGTACAATACGAAGAGTACTGAGGTGTCTGTAGCATTTTCGGAGATGTCAGGCCTCAGTTCTCAAATTGCTAGCTGCTAGCTAGCCAGCTCAATACCTAGTGTCCTAGTGTCCTAGTCTAACGGCGACGAGCCCTCGTTTGCAGGGACGTTCGGTTCCATGATCCCGAAAGATCCAGACACCTTTCAGATTCAGAAATCCTACCACTCATCCGGAAGAGGTCCGTTGCAGGCCACCCGGCCTGCCTTTGGACACAGGTTACATAAAAATACGATCTTCCTTTGCTCACGCAAAGAACAAAACGAATCCATGAAACATAGGAGACAACAACGACAAACCAACAAAGGGGGGAAAATAAAGAATCCCAAACAAACCAACACAGACAAATTCAGACAAAACACAGACACACAAGTCAATAACCAAGGAAGGGCAAAACGATAGAAGGTTTCAGACCTCATATTGCGACCACAAGAAGCACGGCATTCGACAGGCACAAGACAAAACATGAGAGCCAAAAACCAAGAGGAGCAGACGTACGAGCCAAATAAGTTTTAAATGCACTCGTAATAGAAAGGACCGTAACTTTCGCTGCAACAAATGACGCCAGAGCCCCGACGGTACAGGGCTTGAACAGGGACGATACCGGAGTGCAGCAAGCTCAAGCCAATGGACGGTACCACGGATTACAAATCATGTAAACTACGTAAAACAAGATGCGCAGCGTTTCTTTTCCCGTCTTTCGGACACGGACAGCCGAGGAGCAGCCATTCACTTGATCTGCCCGCCCCTTCCCGAAGTTCCACGGAGTCCACCACGTCCTTCACCCTGATTTCTTCCGCGTCGCACCCTCCTCCACTCCGCCAGGCTTCCTCCAACCGTGCTCGAAACGTCCCCTTCGCAAACAAAACCCACTGTCGTTGTTCCTTGTCCTTTCAAAAGCTTGAGCAGTTACATTCGACAGAGCCTCGACATTCCGGAGTTGCCTTTCCAAGGAGTCCACCCGCGCAGCCACAAACCGCTTAGCAGTTTTTCTTGCCATCCTAGTTAGCTTTTGAGAACAAACATCACACTCGCACCGCAGATGAAAATCCTGAAGATCCCCCAGAGCACTCGAGCTAAGCCTCTGCTCTCAGGCTTAATTCCGAAGGTGACTTGAGGATCATTTCGGGACGGCCCTGCGGCACCTGGGGCATCCAGTGGCCCGGAGGCACGCCTGATGCTCCTGGTGCTTGGGCCTGTGAGTGGTAGGAACTGCAACTTAGAGTGGTGGAGTTCAGGGATTAAGGACTTTACAGTTTGGGCCTCCGTGGCCAGGCGGAGACTATGTCAGCATCACATTAATGTCAGGTTGATTCGGTACTACTGCCACTACTACAAACACTGCTATTGGCTATTGGCACTAGTGGCACCTTTCTTGCAAACCTCGCAGCGGCTGCTGCTGCTGCTGCTGTGTTGTTGTTGTTGCGGCGTGGTTGCTGTTAACAGAAACAACAGCAACGTTTGTTCGTGGCAAGCAATTGCGAATGCTTCCTGCAACCCATAGTGTGCCTTTTAGTTTTTGGCGAATGCGACTGATGGTTTACACTGCTGCTGCCCTGATGATAGAAATGAGATCTACACGCGCGGTTACTGTAAAAGGGGTGCTAAAGAACAAACACGGATGCAGTCTTGTCTCTAGCAGCAGGTAGAGGCAAAGTTCGGGTGTCAATGGCACAGATCGAAAGCAAATGTGTGGGTTGATGGGGCTGCAGCGTTTGTCTGTTCCTTCTGTTCTTGTTCTTCTGGTATATATGCTTATTGTTGTTGTTGTTGTTGTTGGCGATGGTGCGGTCGTTGCTGTTGTTGTTGGTTTGGCCGTAGCGGTGATTGTGGTTGTTATGGTTGGTACGGGTTTGTGATTTGGTTGAGGTTGTCGTTGCGGTTGCTGTTGTCGTTGTTGTTGGTTGGTGGTTTTGGTCGTCGGGAGTGAGACCCTGCGCTGTTGCGCTACCTGACAAGGCAATTAAATGACGAACTCGCGAACCTTGAAGCTTGACAACGGCTGCCAAGGCATTAATCCCGCGTGCCCCGTGCCGCCCTCAACCCCTCACCGAAACAAAACCCTGGATGCTGGGCTCCCGACCGGTGGATACAATGGCCTGGAAATGGCGAGAACAACTGGCATCACTACACACCCGCTGTGCAAATCAGGTAGATCCCAAGATTCTGAGCGGACCATGTCAATGCTTGTTCAGTGTCTGCGCGCGGTGTGAGCGTCATGATGATGATGCTGCTGCTGCTGGTGCTGGTGGTGCTGGTGGTGCTGATGGTGGTGGTGGTGGTGGTGGTGGTGGTGGTGGTGGTGCTGGTGCTGGTGCTGGTGGTGGTGCTGCTGGTGGTGCTGCTG